TCCATAAAGAGATTTCTTCAGCCTACAGACCTTTCCTTTCATATCTGTTTCATACATCCCTGGAGGAAGAGACATATAGACCTCCTCATATAACTCTCCGTTCAGAAATGCATTCTTTACATCCAGTTGATAAAGTGGCCAGTCTGAGTGTGCAGCCAAAGATAGCACAACTCTCACAAAACAGGGGCAAAGGTCTCCAGATAATCAATCCTATATGTCTGTGTATAGCCTTTTGCAACCAGCCTAGCCTTGTACCTTTCAATGGTGCCATCAACATGATATTTGATAGTAAAAACCCACTTACAGCCTAYYRRAYCCTTYCCTTCAKGCAAATCAACCACTTCCCAAGTGTCATTCTTGTGCAGGGCATCAATTTCTGTTCTCATAGCATCCCTCCATTCTGGAATGGTAAGAGCTTCTGACACAGACCTGAGAATTGGGTTAGAAGCAACAGAAGAAAAGTAGGCAAAATATGAAGGAGAGAGCAAACTATAAGAAAGGTGTTTAGAAATGCAATGTGCGGTACACTTCCTTTTTCCTTTCCTAATAGCAATGGGGATATCAAGGTCAGGGGCTATAACAATACCTGTTGTCTGATCTGTAACTGGAAGTGCATGAGGCTCATGTGTTGGAGGGGAAACAATTTGCTCATTTCCGGTTCTCTGCCGTTGGTACAACCCGGGATTAAAAAGAGGGCGAGGAGGTAAAGGAGGAGGAATAGGAACACTTGAATGAGAGTGAAGTGACAGATCCTCCCTTGACTCATTTGAAGGAGGAAGAGACTCAACAAAAGACTCAACTGGGACAGGAAGAGGAAGGGTAAACACCTGTGACAAATCCTCCCCTTTGGACAATGTTTCTCCAGTCTTCGGATCAAAACAACAGTAACCCTTCTGTGTGGGGGAATAACCAAGGAAKATACACTTRTGKGCTTTTGGTTCAAATTTATGTCTCTGGACACTTGGGATATGTACATAACAAGTGCAGCCAAAGACACGAAGAGGAATAGGAAAAAGATCCTTATCCGAATGAAGAAGATTGAAGGGAGACTTAAACCCCAAAACCCTGGATGGCATACGGTTGATAAGGTAGGTAGCAGTGAGAACAACATCACCCCAAAATTTTGTAGGGACATGTGAGGCAAATAGAATACTTCTTGTGACTTCAACAATATGTCTATTTTTTCTTTCAGCAACTCCATTCTGTTCTGGGGTCCTAACACAGGAGCCTTGGTGAATAACCCCCAAATCAGTGAGATAGCAAGTCAGGTTTTTCTCAAAATATTCTTTTGCATTGTCGGGTATGGAAATTTTAATTTTGGTATCAAACTGGGTTATGACAAATTCATGGAATTGCCTCACAAGTCCGGGAACTTCATCACAAGACTTCATAAAAAATATCCAAGTGAACTGAGAAAAGTCATCAATGAACAAGATAAAATATTTGTAGCCACCCATAGAAGGTAAGTGGTAAGGCCCCCACACATAAGAATGCACAATATGAAAAGGAGAAGATCTTTATTACTCAGATGATAATTGTTTCTCCAATGTTTTGATAGTTCAATCGACTCACAATGAAGACTGGACAAACTAATTCCCTTTAACAGTTCTGGGAATAGATGACTTAATGCAAAAAAAGACAAATGACCCAAACGAAAATGACATAACATGACTTGACTGATGGACTCTGTAGATGTAGATCCAAAAGCAGTTTTTCCAGGTTGTTCATGGCACTGTCCAAGAGTATCCAGTAGATATATTCCATTCGCCTCATGGCCACTCCCAATCATCTTATGAGACTCCAAATCCTGAAAGACATAGTAGGAAGGAAAGAAGGTTACACAGCAGTTTAATGACTTAGTTAGGCTACTTACAGATAACAACTTTGTATTTAGCCTGGGTACATGACGAGCAGAAGGAAGAACCAAAAAATCTGTAGCCTTGATGGTTCCCTTGCCGGAGATAGGGGCAAGAGAGCCACCAGCTAGGGTGATTTTGTCACGTTCAGGAAGTAAATCATATGAAACAAACAAAGTGGAAAGGCTGGTCATATGATCAGAAGCACCAGAATCAATAATCCAAGGGATCCTACGATTACCTGAAATGGTTGTATGATTGGCAGAAACCCGTATACCTGAATGAGCAAATGCAGAAGAGGTTGAATTTCCTGGAGGGTTGGAAGAAGAGGTCACACCCTCTAGGTGACTGATCATCCTCCCAAACTTCTCATTCTGCCTTCATAGCTACTAACTGCTCACTATCCATCATCTCTTCAATTTGATATCTGTCACTATCTGGACCAATAGCAACATTGGCACTCCCTGCCTTTATATTATCAGACTTCTTCTGAAACCGAAGTGGTAGGAGCTCAGGATGCAATTTCCAGTACTTGTCTTTAGTGTGTTTTGGCTTTTTACAGTACTCACAGATAATCTCTTTCTTCCCTGAGCTACTTGGAGTCCTTGCAACCCCCTTGGGTTTCACTCCCATATTAGCAAAGTGATCATTTAGACCAGCACCTTGGACCTGGATAAGTCTTCTGCTTTCTTCACTACTTACCAAGGCGTATGCTTGAGACAGTGAGACACTATCCTTGGATAAAATATTTTGCTTTGTAATGTCGTACTCTGGATTTAACCCTGTCAAGAACTCAAACACCCTATTTCTCTCAACCAGTTTTCTGTAGGTCTCAGCATCCTTAGTGGTGTCCCAGGCTACAACTTCTATCAAATCTATTTCTTGCCATAAGGACTTCAATGTTGAAAAGTATACAACTAATTGTTTCTCCCCCTGTCTCAAATTCTTCACATCACTTCTCAACTTGTAAACCCTAGCCACATTTAATTTTTGGGAATATGTTTCAGCAACACTATCCCAAATTTTCTTTGCTGAATTCATCCACAAATAGTGCTGACTAATCTGTGGTTGCATTGAGTTCACAAGCCATCCTATAACAGTATAATTTTCTTGCATCCACTTTTCATATGATGGATCATCTTCCAGATGAGCCTTTTTGCTCCCGAAGATAAAACCCCATTTGCCTCTACTACAAATATGAACTTTAACTGATTGTGACCAAGCCAGATAATTAGTTCCATCCAACTTGACTGTGGTCACAACCAGTAGAGAGTCTACAGAGGCTCCAACAACATGCTTGTTTTCAAAGTCTGAGGAGTTCATCTTCTTAAAACTGTGTTGTGAGCCAACCTCTATGCAGCCGCACCAATAACCTACGTCACACCCGGAAGCTAGGAGAAACAGATAAAACTCAGCCGCTCCTTGTAGACTTCACAGAACACCAATCCACTTGATTCAATCTTCAAGAAGAAGAATGAGTAGGCCTTCAGTCACTAAGCGCCCAGGTCAAACTCCCTGTGGGGCCCGCAATCAGATTTCTCCAAAAAATTAGGGTTTTGGGCAACACACTTGAATCTGTCAAGAGGACAACAACTGGCTGAAATAGGTTTCTTTAACTATTCATACGATTCAGTCTTTTGAGAAAAACAAACCTGGCTCTGATACCAAGAAGAAAAACAACCTTTTGAGAAGAAAGGATTGTTTAGAAAGTTGCAAAAATTCAAAAGAAAGTAGCAGAAGTCAGAGTTCAAGAGGAGAGAAGAAGAAGAAGGTGGCGGCAACTTGGGTTCAGAGAGAGATTTTCGAACATAATCTCTTCTCTTACTCCCCTAATTCTATTTCATTAAGTTAAACTTTAGTAATTTACAGAGAAGCCCCTAGTTGGGCAGAAAATTAAAAAGACATAACATAAKAAAGAATAAAGCCCAGATTAAGGCCCATTACAGCAAAAAACATAAAAGGTAAAAAAGGATAAACAACCTATGGGCCATTCGACCCATCTTCTCTACAATCATGATTACCAATAAAAAAATTATCACTATCATCATGCTCATCTCTCCAAGGGTGTAATACCATACATTTGAAATAGCAACTCTTCCACCTCCCTCACTCTAAACTTGTGCATAAGACTCAGCTCAAAGTAGGAAGCTAATCTCTACTAAAAAATGGAATGACTAGTCACTTATCCCCAATAATTTGAAGCAATATAGGATATGTTTACATTTTGTTAGATTCGTGTTGTTTCTTTAAATATTTGTGATGAAACATGATTGGATGAAGGTATATAAAATAAAAAAGAAAGAAGACAATGGAAATTTCTTTTTCCAATCAATGGCATGTTGATATAGAGTTGCCACAAGCAAATGGCATATTGAATAGTTGTAGCCTATCACCTATATTAATTCATTTATGAGATTTCATCAACATCTTAAATCTAGAACATATCTATTTTCCATCGACTAGTCAGTGCCTAGGTAACAACCAGTCACCATATCTACTAGAGAGGCCAAAGTGATGGTCACCGCCTTACACATTTACAACACTAATGGAACTCATGACCAAGACAAAGAATTTTGACTTGAAAAGTATGAGGCAATTTATATGGGAAATCAAAGTCATTGAAGAAAGTGTTTGTGATCACAATTTTGGACAACCTACTATAACATTCCCAACAGAAAATAAATAAATCAAGATTAATGCAGAATTTTGATTTTCAGAAACAGGTTAAACATATATATTAGATAGACAATAATATCTTTGTTCTAAATGATATGCTGCATTTAACTTGTCATCTCAATTATTTGGAAGGACAATGAATAGCATAGTACTAACAGCGGGAAGAACTAAAATGCACTCATTAAACATGCTATCATGAAGATTCTTCAAAAATAATTAATTAAAGGAGTAAATACAACACCTGAATACTGTTCAAACTCAATCATTTATTGCAACTTGGTTTTTCAATAAAATATTTTAGTATAACCTATTACAGGCCTTCATAAATTGCATAGATAGATTGTAAAGACACATATACCTTATTGCCAATGGCACGCCCAAATCCACAAGGTACTGCTGCAGCATCAACATCCCCGATATATGACTTAAGACTTTTCCTAACCCTGAAAAGAAATATTAACTCATAATGTTAACCGTTAAAGAACCTATCAAGGAAAGAAAATCCTAAGGAATATCTAGTAAATTAAACCCTTAACATGGAAAAGGAGACTTAAAAGTCCATACATAAAAAGGCTTGCTTTCCAAAAATGAAAAAAAAGGAAAGAGAATCTCCTAATGCTCCTTCAATGGTTAACTTACCAAACAGCTATTAGCAATGCAGCCAGCTGCCTAGAACCCAGACGTTCAAAATCATCTAAGGTTTTACCTATGGTATCAAGCCACCATTGCCCAATGGAGCTCCCTTCAAGTCCCACCTGCAATTAGTATAAACATGGTAAATGAAGAAGCAATGCATATAGAAAGGACCCAATATCTAGAAAAGGTCAATTGAGTAAGACGAATTTCTCATGGGATGATATGATTATGTAATGTAAGCATTTCACTGAATCAATGATATCCATAATACTCAAAGAGGAGAAATTTTGAAAGTTTTAATTTCATGCTGGATATACATTTCTTCTTCTTCTTCTTCTTCTTTTAAAAAAAGTCTAATGCATTTCCTAGCAAATGAGTGGAAGTTGACACAAAAAAGTAGTATCATTTCTTTAAAGAAGAAAATTTGTTTAATATAGAAAAGGTAAAATTACATCACAATTGGTGAAGCAATCACCCAAAAAGAAAAATACATAAACATAACAAAATACAAAAGGTTATCCCCTAACCTCAACATTTTGCAATTCTAATAAAGACCAAACACCTGCCGGCCCTTCCCCAAATGACTATTTACTTTTTTAAATTATGGTAAGACCAAGACCCAATCCAGCAGCTTGAAGCTTATCCTCAATCACATCTTCCCTTTCAAAACCTCCCAAACTAGTACAAAAGGAACAAAGATCCAAAATATTTTAGAATTCTTGCTTCCATGAAGAACAGGTCATTTTGCAAAGATCTCACTAAGGGACCTTGGATTCCAATCATCCTTGTTGACAAGCCAAAAGAAGAAACCCTAAATAAATCTTGTGAAGACACAACCAAAGAATAGATGGAGCACATCCTCCTCCTTTGATTCACACAACACACATCTATTAGCCATTTGAAATCCCTTGCTTCTCATATGGTTTTGAGTAGGGATACTATCCATATCCACCAACCGAGAGAACAATTTCACCCTTGGTGGGATAGGGTTACCCCAAATACAATTCAATATAGCTCTTTTTACCATTTTTGTATTCCTTCCACCACCTTGCATCAGGCCTCTCCAGATTGATCTCCACCCCTAGTAGCTTTGACAGAAACAACATACACTACTCAATCTCCCAATCCAACAATGATCTTCAAAATTTAGGATACCAAACCACCAATGCCTGCAGCATCACAAATCAGTGGGAAACTTCTCACTCAAATTATACAATCTTGGACACATATCATATAGCTTCTCCACCCCCACAATCTTCTTCCTAAAACCTAATGCTATTTCCTCCCCCATTCTCCAAGATGTGCAGCCCACTGTTAAAGAATGGAACTTCATGATCCCCTTCCACACACCCACCCCATACGATGAAGAAACCTCCTTAGAATCCCACCCGAAGTTAACCACCCTATACATACACGCCACCACCCTCCTCCACAAAGACTCCCTCTTCACTCCAAGCTTCCAACCACCATTTCCCCAACAATCCTTTATTAAATAACCTTACCCTTCTAATGCCCAAGCCTCCATCCTTCTTTGCTCTACAAACCAACCCCATCCTACCAAGTGAAGCTTTTTCTTGTTCCACCTTAATGTTCCATAAAAAATCTCTTTGAATCCCTTCAATTTCTTCAGCCACCAACCCCTAGACTTTGAGAATAGATAGATAATAGGTGGGTAGATTTGAGAGAACATTTGCGATGAGTGCAAGCCTACCGCCAAGAGATAGATAGTCCCCCTTCCAACCAGCCAACCATTGTTCTATTCTATCCAACATCAGTTGCCACGTGGAAGTAGCAGCTGATTTTGCCCCAATATGCTGTATTGAGAATTCTAATTGTAGGAGAGTAACAAGAAGCATGAAAGACTTCTCAGACTTTATTGCAAGGCACAATCTTAGAGATCTCCCTCTTAGCAATGGCTCTTTTACCTGGTCAAACATGCAGGAATATGCGGTAAGAAGAAGACTGGACATGTTCCTTATGACCAATGCTTGGGAGGAACATTTTCCCAACTGCCAGCAGTCTATTAAATCTCGTTGTATCTCTGATCATTGGCCAAGAGATAGATAGTCCCCCTTCCAAGTTCCAACCAGCCAACCATTGTTCTATTCTATCCAAGTAAAAGGGAATTCACCCACAGGACAACCCAAAGTCACCGCATATTCCTCAAGTAAGGATTGAGATATGTCCCCTACACCAAACATAATGTAAGCATCCAACTTCTTTTCCCCCAAACTCATCCTTGTAAGGACTTCCTCCAAAACCCCAACCAACGTGATCAAACACCTTCTCTATATCAATTTAATAGATGACTCCTTCCACACCACTTCTAATCCTCGAATACACACATTTAGTAGTTATCAGCACTTCATCCAATATTTGCCTCTTTGCCTCCTTTCCACAAAACCCACTTGAGTTGGACCTACTAGAAGATGCAGTACCCTATTTAATCTAGCTGATAGAACCTTTGCTATGATCTTATACAGACTGGAAATTAAGCTGATTGGTCTAAATTCTCTCACTCTACATGCCTCCTCCAACTTTAGAATCAAGGATATAAAAGTAGCATTAGCCATTTTTTCAAATTTCTTCTCCTTCTATAGCTATTTGAACATGCCCATCATCTCCTCCTGTAGCTTTTTGAGCGCATCCAGACCTGGTGCCTTGTCCTCTTTCATAAATTTAACAGCCCCATACTTCCCTCTTCATCAAACTCCCTCACAATTGAATTAAATCCCAAATCTCCTAAAAATCATTTCCTCCTTTGTGGTGATTATTAAGATTTATACAAAGGTTTTTTATCTTGTAGACTAACCCTACACTTGCAAGCTTTAGACTGTTAGGCCTATTGCACATTTTACCTATCACCCTCATGTGACTACTTAATATGTCACACAATGGGGCCTAGCTCACTTGATTCCCCTAGTTGAACTCAACGGTTTAGTTCAACCCATGACCCTCTCCACAAATCTTCAACTTCCCATTAAAATCTCAACTCTTCTGCACATGCTGAAAACCATTAATTCCACTGGTCAATGCCTAAGCGTATGACCTGCCACATGTTGACCCATTTCCTTTTACCGCAATAATAATTTCTTCGCATAACACCTTTGCTTTCTCTTTATCTAGATTCTGTTCTTCCATTTTCATATAACTCTCATCCCTTTCGAATCAACAAAACATTGCTTGCAACATAGACTTTCTTTCTCTAACCCCTCATCTTCCTCCTACGAGCTTCCTTCCTCAGGGCTGTTTTAGTGGAGGTTGTCATCCAAGCATAGTAAAACATCCCATCCACATATGCTTTCACTTGGGGATTTCAAGTTAGTTGCAAAACACACCTGTAATAAATCTATAAATAGAATAAATGGAAAAAGAAAAGGAGAAGAGGAGGTTCAACAGAAGCTTAGAGAGAAGATGGAAGAATGGAAGAGAAGAGAAAAGAAAGAGAGTTGTTTGATCTCTCCTCTGTCTCTCTGATTTAATTTATATATGCTGAAATAAGATATGGGGATTTCAAGTTAGTTGCAAAACACACCTGTAATAAATCTGTAAATAGAATAAATGGAAAAAGAAAAGGAGAAGAGGAGGTTCAACAGAAGCTTAGAGAGAAGATGGAAGAATGGAAGGAGAAGAGAAAAGAAAGAGAGTTGTTTGATCTATCCTCTGTCTCTCTGATTTAATTTATATATGCTGAAATAAGATATATGTAAAGTTACAAGAGTGCCCTTACTTGGGTGGCTGACTTAAAACATAAGCAAGAAATAAGAAATAGGCCCAGAAAGAAGGCCCACTACAGCAGATATAGCAGAAGAAATTATACTACTTGAATAAAAGAAAACTAAGGCCCATTCGGCCCAATCTCTCTACACTCCCCCTTAAGCTGATCATAGATGTCAATCATGCCCAGCTTGCTTACATAATGTTATAGCTTTGCCCTGGGAACTCCGTTAGTCAAAAAAATCTGCTAGTTGTTCTTCTGAAGCAATGAAAGGAAGACACACTACCCTTGAGGCCACTCTCTCCCATATAAAGTGTTTGTCTACCACAATGTGCTTAGTTCTATCATGTTGAACTAGGTTATGAGCAATGCATTATAGCTGCCCTAATTATCAAAATATAACATTAGGGGCTTATCAAAAGAGATACCCATCTCATCTAAGAGAGATCTAAACCATAATAACTCTGAAACCCCCTGGGCCATTACCCTATACTCTGCCTCAATTGAAGATCTAGCTACCATTGACTACTTTTTACTCCTCTAGGAGACAATATTTCCAGCTTCCATAGCACAATAACCCGATGTGGATCTCCTATCATCTATACTACCTATCCTATCAACATCTGTATAGACCTCTACCTTCACATGACCATGTTTGGAAAATAGTATGCCCTTCCCAAGAGTGCCCTTAAGATAACATAGCACCTTTTCTGCAGCAGCCATATGTATGTCTTTGGAGCATGCATGAATTGGCTAATTACATTCACAACATATGAAATGTCTAGATGTGTCATACAAAGGTAAATAAGTTTCCCCAATAATGGGGGTGGAGGCAGGTTTAGCACCAAGCTTCCCAGTCTTAGCGAGAAGGCCCGGCACATAATTCCATTGGGAAATGAAGATTCCTTCTTTATATCTAGAAACTTCAATGCCCAAGAAATTTCTCCTCCTAATAAAGAGGGTATGATCTGATTGAGTCTAAGTGTATCTAAACTAAACAAGAGCAGCTCTAAACCTGTCAAACCAAGCACATGGAGATTTCTTCAAGCCATAAAGTGACTTCTTTAGCTTGCATACCTTGCCTTGCATCTCCTTACCATACATACTAGGGGGAAGAGGCATATATACTTCTTCAATGAGGTCACCATTTAAGAATACATTCTTAACATCAAATTGATAGATAAACCAATCATAACTCATTGCCAAAGATAGAAAAAACCTTACGGAAGTCATTTTAGCAACTAGAGAGGTCTCAGTATAATCTATCCCATACACCTAGGTATATCCCGTGGCAACAAGGCATGCCTTATACCTCTCAATCGATCCATCAAAATGATACTTGATGGTGCAAACCCACTAATACCCAACAGGCAAGTCAACAATATCCCATAGGCATTATTT